TATAGTAGCAAACACAGTTCCTAATTCAAGACATATACCAAACCCATCATTAAACATACTTTGGAAAGAAGTGACATTTCTGCCGGAACCGGTTTGGCTCAGTGGATAGAGCGTCGGCCTGCGGACTGAAAGGTCCCAGGTTCGATTCCGGTCAAGGGCATGTACCTGGGTTTCGGACACATCCCCAGTAGGGGATGTGCTGGAGGCAGCTGATCGATGTTTCTCTCTCATCGATATTTCTAACTCTCTATCTCTCTCCCTTCCTCTCTGTAAAAAAATCAATAAAATATAAAAAAAAAGAAGTGACATTTCTGAATTTCCACTAGCTACATGTGCCTGTGATGTTAAACATGTACACTGAAGTCAATCTTTTACTTCTCTTTGAAGAATGCTCACTTTTTCCAAGAAGAAAAATATCCCCTGCATTTATATATGAGGAAAGAAATGCAAAGCAAGAAATTAACATTGGAGCCCTTCTGAAACAAATAACAATATTTCTGTTAAATCTTGCATTATTAATAAAAAGCATTGTATATTTTATTATGAAAATATGCTATTTAGTGGTACCATAATAATGCTCAAATGGATTGAGAAAGTTACAGTATTTTTTTTCCATCCTTAAGTTATGTTCCTGAAAACCATGCCAAAAGAACGTGTGGCTGAGGAATGGAAACATTTCATGAGAAACTTGGAGACAAAGGAACCAAAACGGGGGCAGGAGAAAGCCAAAGTACATTTTATTAAAGATATTCACTAATATAAAACAGCCCACTAAATACAGGTATATCATTGGCATTATGGACAAATATATACATCTTTAACAATGAGTATCATGCAATTCATTTTCTTTGTTATTCCTTGCTCATCAAGAAATTTTTAGAACTTCTCTTTCTCCCATAGTTATAATGAGATTTTGTAAATCTGTTTTATTCTCACGGGAGTAGAGAGAAACTGTATTCTGCCTCAGCTTTTTCTCTTGCAAGGAGACTCTGAACCAATATTTCATGTTGCTGTGCTGTTAGTTCCACTGCTCTCCAACTTTCCCTTGTGGGAGTACACTGACCACCAGGGGGCAGCTCCTGCATTGAGTTATGTTCCTGAAAACCACGGTGGTCAGTGCGCATCATAGCGACCAGTTGTTCTGTCATTCCACCTTAACAGTCGCTTAGGCTTTTATTATATAGATGTAATGGGAAGCTCTGGGAGGGTTGAGAACTGAAGAGGGACTTGTGTTTTAAATGGTCACTCTTGTTACATAGGGTGCCATAGGTGTTTGCAATAATCCAAGAGAAAGATGATGGTGGCTTGGACTAGAGTTGTAGTGGAGGAGATAGAAATATCCAGATTCTGGATATATTTTTAACATAACAATAAAAGGATTTTAGTGTGGAGTGTGAAAGAAATTGATGAGTCCAAGGATGAAGTTTCTAGATTGAATAACAGGAGGATGGAGTTGCCACTTACTAAATTGGGTGAGATTTGGGTGTGGGGAGTTAGCAGAGGCTATTGATGCCCTGTCCCACTGTACCTTGGCCTACTTCTGAGCTTACTTGCATCTTGGTGGCAGTTCTGCCCTCATCCCTCTGTTTCTCTGTCTTGGGGATTTCTCCATCAACAGTGAGGAATGGGAAGGGAGTTACTGGATAAATAACCCAGCTTCTCTCTTCCTGGGTGGGACAATTCTGAGATGCCTTCTACAAGATTCCTTAGAGAGGATCCAGCTTCAATTGCCCACAATATTGACCTGCTCCTTAAACCGTCCTTTATTAACATTTCTCCTTTCTCTTTTTTACTTCCCCTATTTCTATACTTCCTGGGGGTAACCTCCTATATAAGTTAGATTTTGTTGCATAACAAACTGCCCCAAAATTTAGTGGCTTAAAACAACTATTTTTGCTCATGATTCTGTGGGTCAGCAATGTGGCCTGGATTCATCTGTGTGACTCTTCTGCTGGCCTTGCCTGGGGTCACTTAGTGGCTATAATCATTGGGCAGCTTGACTGGATCTGGATGGTTTAAGATGACCTCTGCTGATAGATGGCAGAAGCTCGCTGTCAGCTGGTTGATTTAAGAGGCTTCAGATGGGATGGTTCATCTGCTCCTCTGTCCCTCTTAATCTCCAGGAGGCTAGATGAGGTTGTTTCACATGACAATCTCAGGGAAGCCAGAAAGCATCATGAGGCCTGGGTCAGAAGTCTCACAGTGTCACTTCTGCTGCATTCTTTTGGTCAAAGCTAGTCACAATGCCAGATCAGATTCATTTTATTTTATTTTAAAATATATTTTATTGGTTTTTTAGAGAGAGGAAGTGAGAGGGATAGAGAGCTAGAAACATCGATGAGAGAGAAACATCGAGCAGCTGCCTCCTGCACACTCCCTTACTGGGGATGTGCCTGCAACCAAGGTACATGCCCTTGACTTGAATCGAACCTGGGACCCTTGAGTCCGCAGGCCGACACTCTATCCACTGAGCCAAACCGGTTAGGGCGCCAGATCAGATTCAAAGGGTGAAGATAAAAATCTCACTTCTTGATGGGGAGTGATATCAAAGTTACTTTGCAAGAGGGGCAGACATATAAGAAGGGAAGAAAGTTTAGGCCATCTTTACAAGCAATTCACCCATGTCCCTCACTCCCTAAATTAACTACTACTCTGGGTCCTTGTCTCACAGTCTGCTCTTGGGGGAATCCAAACTAAAATGGGGTGGGTGGGAATCAAAGCTCTGGTTTAGACATTCAAAGTTTGAGCCATTTATTGGAGAAATCCAAGGAGAGATTTTTAATTAGCTGTTGAATATATGAACCTGGACTTCAGAACAGAGGTCTGGGCTAGAGATGCTCAAGTTGGGAGTCTTTGCTATGTACATAAGTATATAAACTGATGGGCCTGGATAAGATCATATGGAGAATGTGCAGAGAGAAAGAAGAGGTCAGAAGACTAAGTCCTGGGCCACTTTAATGTTAAGAGTCAGGGACAGGTAGAGGGGCCTGCAGCGGACACTGAGAAGGAGCAGCCAGTGATGTCCTAGAGGGACAGTGGTGTCCTGGAGGCCAAAGAAAGGATGTTTCCAAGAGCGATAAACAGTGACAGGGAAGAGCATTCCATATGCTCTCTGTGTAAAGTGATTTGGGGTCATTGCTCCACATGTGCCAGCATTTTATATCCATCTTCATATTTTCTCATTTACTTACTTACAAGAATTATAACTCAAAGGCAGAGGTAAGTAAGACATCTACCTTTGGGACAGGTCTGTAAACATGGACTTGAGAAGGAAGCCACAGAAAGGCAATAGCCTGCAGATTCATCACAGTCACAAGTTTAACTAACTCTGTAGCCCTGGGAAGCTTTTCACGATTTTAACACAGTTTAGTGCAGGATACAGGAGTTAGCATGGACTTTACAAAAGAACTAGACGATCAAGCTATTTTAAAATTTATATTTCAAAAGAACTCAACATTACATTGCTTGTTTACAATTAGCTCGAGATTAGGTTTTATCTACCTCCCCCCAATCTGTTCTCATGTGCTTTGTGCACCTCATTTGAATGGTTTGGTTTCCTTCCTTTCCCTCGGAGTATCTACTTACTTTCCCCACTCCAAATTTTCCTGAACTGATTTTGTTTTTCTCCTTATTTTCCCCCCAACACCATTTATCCCTTCTATGCCCTATTCCACCTCAACCCACTCTGCTTCCCCCTGAACTGATTCTTGTCATGCATTCCACATATAATGTTCTAATTTCTACACAGTCTATGCCTAAAAGGAAGAAAAAGAGCCTACTTTAAATCTGGGTTCAGAGCATAATTAGAAAAAAATTTCTGTTTCTGTAAACAATTACTAAGAAGCTTAAATATGTTTACTGTTAATAACTAAAACCTCAAAATACTTATTTTGAAAAGATAAGGCAACCTCTCTCCTTCCTTTCATTGGCTGCCAAATGGCAACAGCCCCACTTCCTCATCGAGTTCCTTGCAATCCCTCCCAAATAGACATTTGCACCCAAATTTTTGTCTCAGTGCCTGCTTTTGGGAGAGCCCAAACCAACACAGTGTTCTGAATATGTGGAATGCCCTGCACTTCACTTGGCAACAAACAGCGGAGTCCAAAGGCAGCTGAACCTTTCATGGCCACATGTCCCTCACTTTGGACAGCCCTCCCTGGGACTGGCCAAGCGGCATCTGAGTTTGTGATCCTGCACATGTAAGCAACAAGCAGCGGGAGTTGTTTCTTTTTTATATTTCCAAGCACTGAGAGAACAGACCCAACAAATACATATTTTACAATTTCAAAACCATAGTACAAGCTACATAATGCATGTAATTAAAAAAGCTAAATATTAAAAAAGGTAAATATATAAACAAAAATACTTTCATAAATACCTCATATGCTGTCATGTGCCTTTTTCTAATTTCTTTCCTGCTTCTTTATTTTTCTTAAATTGGGGTTGTAAGAGTTTTCAAGAATTAACTTGCTTTGCTTAATTTTTGTCTTCTGGGCCTTTGTTACCTCATTGGCTTGAGTGTTTTCAGGAGGACTGTTAATGCTTCAACTTGAATTAGCAAGCTCTCCTAGAAGAAAAACACACCATGTCATTTCTAAATTAATTCTATAACCATACAGAATTTGATTTTCACAAAAGAATGTGAAAATTATCTTAGATAATTTAGGCAGCAATTTCATCTGACAAATGTGAGATTCTATTCTTTTAAAAATTTTATTGAATGTATTGGGATGACATTAATTAATAAAATTATATAGTTTTCAGATGTAACCTATATAATTCTACAATACATCATCTGTATATTGTATTGTGTGTTCATCACCCACAGTCAAGTCTCTTTTCGTCACCATTTACCCTACCTTTATCCTCTTCTACTTCCCCCAACCCTGCTTTCCCTCTGGTAATCACCTTACTGTTGTCTTTGTCTATGAGGTGTTTTTTTTCCCTTAATCCTTCCACCTTTTTCATAGACCCCCTCCCCTCTAACAGATGTCAGTCTGTTCTCTGTATCTATGAGTCTGTTTCTATTTTGTTTGTAAGCTTATTTTATTCATTAGATTCCAAGTGTAAGTGAAATCATATGGTACTTGTCCTTTTCTGACTAGCTTATTTCGCTTAGCAGAACACTCTTCAGATCCATCCATGCTGTGGCAAAAGGTAGTATTTCTCTCTCTCTTCTCTTCTCTCTCTCTCTCTCTCTCTCTCTCTCTCTCTCTCTCTCACACAGCCAAGTAGTATTCCATTGTGTAAATGTACCACAGGTTTTTTATCCACTCATCTATTGATGGGCACTTGGGCTGCTTCCAAATCTTGGCTACTGTTAATGCTGCAATGAACCTAGGGGTGCATATATTCTTTTGAATCAGTGTTTCAGGTTTCTTTGCATATATTTCCAGAAGTGGAACTGCTGGGTCATAAGACAGTTCCATTTTTAATTTTTTGAGATAACTCCATACTGCTTTCCACAGTGGCTGTACCAATCTGCATTCCCACTAGCAGTGCACGAGAGTTCCCTTTTCTCCACATCCTTGCCAATACTTGTTGTTTGTTAATTTATTGATGATACCCATTCTGACAGGTGAGAGTTGATATCTCACTGTGGTTTTAATTTGCATCTCTCTGATGATTAGTGACATTGAACATCTTTTCACATATCTATTGCCCATCTGTATGCCTTGCTCAGAAACTGCTTCAGAAATGAGTCTGTAGTATCCAATGTGTTTTGGGCACTGCAGCTCCGTGGGCAGGGTCTGTGACCGTTTTGCCAATTACTGAACCTCCAGCACCTACTATAGTGACTGTGATATAGTGGGTGCTCAATAAACATTGGTTTAATGAATAAGTGCATAAATTTACACAATATTATTAATTCAGAATACCTGACACTTATTGAATGTATATATCTGCAACAGTTGTTTTTTTAAAAATAAATCTTTATTGTTCAGATTATTACAGTTGTTCCCCTTTTTCCCCCCCATACCTCCCCTCCACCCACTTCCCACTCCACCCTCTGCCCTTACCCCCCCCCCCCCCCCCGGGTGTCACCCATAGGGGTGAGCTTTTTGTTGCTGGGTCAAAGGTCATACACATGGAAAATGTGGCTATTTCCATCCGCAACATGTCTCTGTGCTCGGAAAGGCCTCTCACGACTTGTTCACACTCTACTCAGAAAGGGTGCGGAGCCACGTAACGGCTTTTTAAAATAATGTATCCTCTTATGTTTAAAATGAGGATTTCGCTACCAAAACTGAGGAGAAAGCAACACTACAGCTGCTCTCGCCCCTCTCACCCTTCGGGTGATAGTTGTGCGTGGGGCTGTGAGCTGGTTCGCGGGCTGTCGACGAAGCCGTCTGGGCGGCTCGCGTGGTTCCGCCGGCTTCCCAGGGGCCGTCGCAGCCTCACAGGGGCCGTCGGAGCCTCGCAGGGGCCATCGCAGCCTCACACAGCCTTACAAGGGCCGTTGCAGCCTCACAGGGGCCGTTGGAGCCTCGCAGGGGCCGTTGCAGCCTCACGCAGCCTCACAGGGGCCGTTGCAGCCTCACAGAGGGCGTCGCAGCCTTGCAGGTGCCGTTGCAGCCTCACGCAACCTCGCAGGGGGCATCGCACCCTCGCAGGGGCTGTCGCATCCCACGTTGGGGGTGAAGGTGCGAGACAGAAGCTCCTCTCGCTATCTCTCCTGCTGCTCCCTTGCTTATCGCCAATGCTGGAAGTTTCTGAGAGCAGTCTGCAGGTGCTGGACATCATACTTTAACTGGTCAACACGAAGTTTGGCATTCTGTCTTTTGTTGGGAGGCTCCTTGCTGGACAAAAATCTCCAGGTGTTCTAGCTGGCTGAATATCTGGTATGCTTGCTTGGATTTCGTTTTCTGCTAAGTGCACAGACTGCTTGTCTGCCGTCTCCTGGCATCCCAAGTGAGACTGGATCTGGTGGACCTGCTTGTGCGTTTGCTGGTACAGCGGTTCCATGTCGCCGGCCCAGCTGGGTCCGGCTCCGGCTTCCTCTGAACCTGAGTCTGCTTCTTGAGTGTGTCCCTTATGGATGCGAGGAGTTGAAATCTGCAGTTTGTTGGGTTAGGCTGCAAAAGCGCAGGTGGTTCCTTTTGTGCCACTGGCACAGCTTGGGTGGGGATGTAAATTGAGTAGGGCGGGGTCTCAGAGAATCACCCAGGGCAGAGCAAACAGCAATGGTTGTCGTCAGCGGCTCCCGCGTCCCCGAGTGCCGCGCCCCCACAGCAACAATGATCCCTGCGAGCAGCTCCGCAGAAAGCCACCCTTGCTCTCCGACCCACTGCAAGACAGTCCAGCCTCTCCCCGTAGGGGTCTGGGACCTCAGAATCCCGCCCCAAACAAGCTCAGTGGATTCGAGAGCTTGTATCCCCTTCCAATTGAAAAAACCGCGCATCCAGTTGCAGCCCGCCTGGCGCACGACTCTGTACCTCTGTTCTTGGTGCCTCTGCACCTCCTACTCAGTCTCAATGCGTTTCTTTCTTTCCTTCCAGTTGTAGAACTTCCACTGGGCCAGCTTTCCCATGGTTCTGGATGATAGCTGTTTTGTCTTATAGTTGGTAGTTTCAATGTTGTTGTGGGAGGCAGCATGCACAGGTCTATACCTTATGCCGCCATCTTGGTTCTCCCTGCAATAGTTGTTTTTATTTTATTTTTTATGTATTATTTATTTATTTACTTATTTACTTATTTATTTTTGCAGAGAGGAAGGGAGAAGGAGAGGAATAGAGAGTTAGAAACATCGATGAGAGAGAAACATCGATTCAACTGCCTCCCGCACACTCCCCACTGGGGATGTGCCCGCAACCAAGGTACATGCCCTTGGCCGGAATCGAACCTAGGACCCTTTAGTCCGCAGGCCGACGCTCTATCCACTGAGCCAAACTGGCCAGGGTTGCAATAGTTGTTTTTAAAAGAAAATAGTTTTATAATTTGCAAATAAAGCAATAATCTGATAGTTTATAGAAAACGCCCCACAGTACCGAATTTTATTTCTTTTGACATAATACCATCTCTGGATATAGTCTATTCTGCAAAATAAAATAGCACTTTTACAGTGATTATATTGGAAAGGGAAGACAATATCACCCCCATTTACTGGACAATAATTTATCCAATATTAGTGTAACTAGGTTGTTTTGCATCACTAATAATGGAAATCCTAAGTATACTGACTAATACCCATTCCCGACCAAACTACTAGGAGAGGAGAGGGGATTACTCATGGCACTAGGGACCGAGTGGGCTGCTCCTAAAATATTAGGGCTGTATGGGACAGGGTAGATGCCTGAACAAGATTGGTGGGAGTGTATCTTGGGTAGGTACTGTGTCTCCCACAGTCACCAACTAATAACTGGAAGAACTGGCACTCAAACCTAGTTGTCCTGAAATCAAATATAATGCTTTTGTTTTAAGGTAATGTGCTGTAACAAACTATTCATATTACAGAAAGTAAATTATTCATATATTATTCATATTTTTGTTTGTTGTTTTGTTTCTTAATTTAAAGGGTAATACATTCCTAGAGTTCTTCTGGTAGCATTATTCTAAGTCCCTTATTAACATTAAGGGTGTCTTTGAAGCAGTGTTCTTTAATAGTTCTTCAATACTTCCCCATGGAGGATAACTAATGTTTCCTGTGAGCTTCTACACTAAGTCCTCCTAATGCCAGAGTTCAATAAGTATCTATATTAATAAAAGGGTAATATGCTAACTAGACCAGACATCTTCTGGATGTCCATCTGAACACCCATCCGGACAAAGCCACAGCGGCTGCGAGGCAGCCAATCAATGTGTCTATCTCACATCAATGTTTCTTTCTCTCTGTCTCTCCCCTTCCCTTCCACTCTCTAAAAAATCAATGGAAAAAAAAAATATCCTTGGGTGGGAATTAACAACAACAAAAAATCCATTAAAATAAACGTTGTGCCTCATAAACTCATTATAATGGATGTTAATGATACCCTAGTCATATTAGTTTCCTGTGGCTCTTTAACAAATTACCACAAACTGGGTGGATTAAAATAATAAAAATTTAGTTTTTTGCAGCCTGGAGGCAAGAAGTACAAAATCAGTATCACTGGGTCAAAATCAGTATCAGCAGGCCCTCCCTTTGGAAGATCTAGGGGAGACTCTATTCCTGGCCTCTTCAAACTTTTGGGGGCTGTGAGCATTCCATTCCTTGCTTGTAGCAACATCACATCGATTGCTACCTCCATCTTCACATCACCTCCTCCTCTATGTCTATGTCAAATCTCTGTCTGCCTCTCTCTTATAAGAATGGATATGATGGAATTTAGGGCCCACTAGGTAATCCAGCATAATCTCTTCCTTTCTACATGCATTTATAGGTTCCAGGGATTAGACCTAATATCTTTGGGGACCATCATTCAGTCTACTACACTATGATTTTTTTTCCTTTGTTCTTTTCTGTTAATCCTTACCTGAGGATATTTTTCCATTGATTTTTAAGGAGAGTGGAAGAGAGAGGGAAAGACAAAGAAAAACATTGATGTGAGAGAAACACATTGATTGGTCGCCTCCTGCATAAGCCCCAACCAG